GTTTAGCCACCGACCACAAGAAAAGACGTTATATTCGACGTTCCCGATGGTATTTACCTCTCTATCTCAATCATGTTACTATGATAGAGGTTGAATCCCCTTAGTCGGGGACTGCACAGTACAGTGCTCATGGGAAGTTCCATTTCTTAGAAGCTGGGGCTTCCATTTGCACATTTTTTGCCGTGGGTGATCAAGTACCTGATCATGACTCTAATCTACAAAACTCAAAGAATTATCTATAAGACCAAAGGAATCATAATGAAATTCAAACTAGACAAGATCTCACAAGCTCAAAAGATGCTTATTGAACTCATCTTGTTACGTATACCGATGCACCCCACGTAATCCGGTGGGAATTATATAAAAGGCGTTGATACATCCCCATTAGGAACGTGATGATTAATATTGTGTTGTTGCTTGTATTGAAGCCTTTAAATTTGAAGTAATAATACGAGCCCATATGGGTTGATCATGATCTGACCTATTAAACCTTGTAATAGGTACCGAGCAGGATTAGACCAGATACATGCAGTAGAGTATGCGTGGTTGGTGTGCCCGGCATCGGGGTGCCTCATGTTGGTAGGCTTCGGAGAAGAAGAGCCTATTGTTATAATGAAATGGTTTTAACTGTGGTATACGGTCTAAGTAGGCTTTACATGAGCTCGATCCCATCCCAAACTTCTTGGCACAGCAACCACAAAATACTAGACTGGGTATGGTGGGCGTCACGATATCGGGGCCGGTAGAAGTACATGAACGCCAAATCTATCCCCTCAACCACAACACAATATATTTTTGATTAGAGGCCGTAGAATGACAGAGAATCAAGAGGATAATCATTCTACGGCCTTTAATTTTAATTATCTTGTGTTGCGGTTGAGGAGATAGACTTTGAAGTTGGGTGAGTTTGGTAGGGAGACATGTCAATTTTTACCCATACAAATTATTAAGGCCAGATCAAAATCCACTAAGAATACTCCTGTCCATCACCATAAAGCACTCGGTTTATTACCAAAAGGGCGTTAATCGCCATCTGTGAGCTCAAAAACATCTAAATAGGTGATGATTTACCTGATGGAGATTTTTACATGTGCCAAGACCGACCCCGATATCGTGACGCCCACCATACGAGGTCAGGCTTTACGTACCTGCCAGGTCGACGAAAACAGGGTTGACGTTAGTCATCAGCTTGTACTTATGCTGCCGGATTTAATAAGTACATGTAGATGTCGGCTCGCACTCGGCCTATGCATTAATTCCCACGAAATAAAATACCGCAGAAACTCGCCAACTTGATTATCTCCGTGCAGGGATTTCTTCATTGATGATTGGCTGAAAGGCAGAGATCAGCTTCAGATATTTCCTCTACAAGTTAGTTTTTGGTCAGATCCGCTAGCAAAGTTCGTGAGTTTTTGCGGTACTCCATTCTAAATGCTACAAGACAATCGCAATTGTACCTACATGTACAGTGGAGTCTCGATAATAGCATATGGTCGGGAACGGATTTTCGTGTGCCACTATCGGGGATATGCTTGTATCGAGAACAACTTTGCCCGTACCGACTCATTTGGGATTGCCCAACTATATGCTACTATCGAGGATATGCTATTATCGAGGTTGCTACTATCGGGACTCCACTGTATATAGTACACGTGCAGAGTACATGTACATACAGTCGCCTCTCGATATAAGGATATGGTCGGGACCGAAAATCTCTGTTGAATATATTCTTATAAGGCGAGTATCACTATAAGAAGTAAGGAGATACTGGTAAAAGGGTATTTCGGGACCACCGATTGCTATCATTATAACGAGAGTATCACTGTATGAAGTATCACTATAAAGAGAGTCAACTGTATATTATTATATAATACATAATTGGTGATTTCCTTATGTTAAATCAAAGTACCCAGCGCCCCAATTGCTAGAGCGGGCATGCGCAACTCGTTGGGTTTGAATTACATACATGTATTCCTAAAAACACAATAAGAAACTCCGTACTATAGTACTGCTACATATAATTATGATGACTGGTAGTACATATAGGAGATAGGATTCGGAATGTGGCTGAATGATGATCATGGTTTACATACAAAGTACACAAGCTACTTGACTGCATTATACATGTCATTATGTAGAACGCTGTGCGTGTGGGCCATGGGGATACATTGTTGGGAATATCAGAAAGGCCACATTACTACAGCCCACTCTATCTCTTGCTCTTCTTCTTCTTATTATTACCTTATATATAGAGAGGTGATTGAATGTACAGAAAGCAAAGACTATATATGGTGCGCACACTCTTAAAGGTGATATGGTGGCATACGGAAGTGGAACAATTGTGGCTGCAATAGGGCTCATGGGCCAATAAGAGGGCCCATTGCTAGCAATTCTGCTGCATTACTGCCACGGATCAGTCAGATTTGCTTTTCTGGGGTATAAATGAGTATAATACTGTTCCACTTTGTTCAGTCTTGGCGCATTTTACATACAAAAATACACAATTTCAACTTCCAAAGGCTTTACAACCCAGACAGATATTAAAATTCTGCAATGATAGAACTAAACTTCATCACTAGTACTAGAGTTCTATCATTACGTTTTTATTTACGATTTTTCGTTGAAAAGTTATAAGCCATTGACATTTCGTCGCGATCCGCTACCTTTAAGCGTGCGCACACCATATGAGTGAAGCGCGCTGCCCAGCTAGGCCTACGATAAAGCAGATCTACCGATGCGTATGTATTTACCTGGTCTGTTGAACGAACATATGCAAGAACCTCCTAGTAGGGCAGTGAGGTTGAGGGGCGCTTTGCAACTTCCCCGTAGTTTATGGTCACATCCGCTTCATTATATTAGTGATACAAGCGCGCGGTCAATTTGAAAGCAACTTATAAATTAAATCGCGCATCACAGATCTAGCAATATTTCAGGATAATGTGAGGCTTAAGAATTGTTTCATATCGGGCCACACAATTGACTTCGACTGTGAGGCACAGAAACTTCGAAAAGCAAAATACGAAGAATGTTCCCTTGGATCTGGGGATATACCTTTTGGAAAATACTGTATCACCAAGAGAGAGGGAGAGAGTACATACATGTAGTCCCTTAACTTAAATTGCACGTAGTGTTGAACACCCCATCAGTGCTCGGCTGTGGTCTAAGTACAAAGTGTTGCATCGTATCACTAGCGATCACTCGGCAGCTGTTTCCGTCATGAAATGTGGTTATAAATAAATCCTCACATACTCGTAGCTTTATAGCGTTTCCGAACACGACCAATATTGCATGACATACAAGAAGGTGGATTTGGCGCTTTTTCGTATGTCATGAAATATTGGTCGTGTTCGGAAACGCTATAAAGCTACGAGTAGAGTAGAGATTGTATCCTTGGATACGTACCCATGGGCGGCGATCCGGATTGGATTTGAATCGAATTGCCAGCTTGTGGAAATCTATCCGTTTGAGATTCCGTTAAGCCAAGTTTCCGGATCGCCGCTATATATATGTACTCTCGGTACATGCCGCTACATGGGCACCATCCTGCTCCGAAGAATGCCGCTCTTCTGTCATATTCTGTAGGTGAAATCCAGTCTAAGCTATGTACATAGGTACATACATAATAAATTATGTACCTAGCCGCAACAGAGCAGGAAATACAGGTGACAGGTCACATGAATATCAACCCAATATAAGTCCATGTATATCCAGACATGGACGGGTCAAATGGCGAACCCGGTCGATATCAATGAATTGTTCGTCAATTATAGACCTTAAGTTAAAGAGGCCTGTGCACTTTTTGTGCCCTTTTGCAGTTGACAAAATTCACTATTGGCACTCTGAAATCTTATTCTGATAGGAGTAAGATAAGTACTCGTAAAGACTTGAGTTTTGGACTGCTATTACATATGATACCAATCCACCATTTTGTATCATATGCAATAGCAGTCGGTTTTAAAAACAATGTCAAGATCTACCCCTTGCGGTACGGGCCAATTAATGGTTGCCCCTTTGGCAAGTACATGTGTAATCATTGACAGGGATAACGATTAGTTTTGTCTATCATTTCTAGTCACCACCGGATATGAAGTCCCATGTACATGTATTCTTATAGTGAATTTATGGTTTCGATTCCTGTACTCTGGGAAAGCTTCGTCCCGATACCCCCACATTATGTGGGCGCCGACTCATATATGATTTATGAGATCATAGTGACCGCTGAGCTGATATAAAATTCTGATTTCAAACTGTTACAGCGAGAGGTAAAATTATTGTAGAAACAGGGGTCTAAAAACAGGGTTTCTGTGGCTGGGCAAGCCAATAGGACTCCTCCCATATTTCTACAATAATCTTACCGCAAGCTGTAATGACAGCTATGTGCAAGTGCTGCAAAGGAACGGAGTAACTTTAACAAGGGATAGAAGGAATTAGTCAACGATCCAACAACCCTGGTTTGTAATATCGGCAGGTAGCGTACATATCCTCAAACCAAGTCAGGTCATTTCTGGCTGACAACCTTGTGCATCTGGATGAGATGCATGTATATTCACCTAAAATATCAATGGTCCGAGTGCTAGGATTGGAAGGATTTCAAATTCGCTCCTTGGAGCGTGCACGGGGAGGAACCATAGGACCGAATACCGCCATAACTCGAAAAATTGGCTAGCTTCCAGAGATCAAAATTACTTGTATGGGAAACTTCTGATGCAGGTCGATGCCATTCAACCAATTACTCGAGTGATAATCCCTGGCCGGAGATAGCCAATTTTTCGAGTTTTGGCGGTATGTTACCGGTTACCTCACGGCATCCCAACCCTTCACTCACATGACGTCATTATCCTGAGCTTCACCCGATTATAAGCGGAGAATTCCCTCGAGGAATTGCTTCAATTCTCCTGAGACAAAGCATTCTACACCCCCATTAACATACCCTCTATCAACTTATTACTCCCACCGCTTTTAGTTACGCCCCAGAACTAGCCTGAATAGATTCTCTAGAAATGGGAGCCTTCAATGAAAGAAATGGTTTCGGCCGTGAAAACGAAGTGGAAATCCTCGATATTAGAGTTAATAAGGGAGGCCTTGAGTCATCTCTAAAGGATGATATTGTAGCTGGTCTAAAAAAGGAAGCGGGAGAAAAGACCCTTCCGACCCTGTTACTTTATGACGACCGTGGCCTGAAGCTCTTCGAAGAGATCACTTACCTCGACGAATATTATTTGACCAATACAGAGATCGGAATACTCGAGAAATATGCAGACAACATGGCAGAGAGGATTGAAGATGGTGGAGTTGTTATAGAACTGGGGAGTGGGTAGGATATTCATATTCTCTTTAGTTGTTCTAGACCACTTTCAGACTGTTAGCTGACAGAACAACTAATACCATTCTAGAAACCTCCGAAAAGTGAACATCCTTTTACATGCCCTTGACCGTCTGGGTAAAAAAATCACATACTATGCACTTGATCTGGACCGTTCCGAACTGGTGCGGACTTTGCAGTTGATACCCGCCGGAACGTTCAAAAATGTTCGCTGCGTCGGCCTGCATGGAACATACGACGACGGGAAAGCCTGGTTGAAATCATCTGCAACTGCAAACGACAAGAGCCGCTGCATATTGTGGCTCGGTTCTTCGGCCGGGAACTTCAATTTGAGGGGGGTTGCTGAGTTTCTGAAGGAATGGGCAGCCGATGCCCTGCGTGTTGGAAAGCCCGATTGTATGCTGGTTGGCCTTGATGGCTGCAAAGATGCGGAGAAAGTCAAGTTAGCGTACAACGACCCTAAGGGGATCTCGCGGGACTTCACCCTGAACGGCTTATGGCACGCAAATAGTGTAATGGAGAAGGAGCATTTTGTTCCCGGGGAATGGGAATTCGTCGGGGAGTGGAATGCGGAAGAAGGAAGACACCAGGCGTATTATGAAGCTTTGAAAGATATTGCCTTTGACGGTGCTCTCGAGGGTGTTATGGTAAAGAAAGGGGAAAGAATCAATGTCGAGTATAGCTACAAATTTGATGAGAACGAATCGCACTTACTTTGGGAACATGCTGGGCTGGCTGATGGAGCACGGTGGTCTAACGACGCCGGGGACTATTGCAAGTACTCCCTAGTATTGACCACAACCGAGTTGATGCGACCTAATTTTGCATTGAAATACACGAGTGTCTAATTGTAAAGTTTAGATCTTCATATGCTTTACAAACCAAGATTCAATTTCCCGCTAGGGCCACCCTCGCTATATGCCCCGAGTCCAACACCAACAGTGTCGGAATGGACGGAATTATGGGCGGCGTGGGACACTGTGACTCTTGGGATGATTCCCAAGGATAAACTCCTCACCAAACCAATCGATCTTCGAAATCCATGCATTTTCTACATTGGACACATTCCAGCCTTTTTAGACCTTCAGGTCTCTCGCGCGTCGGATGGAAAGATGACTAGCCCGGGGCAGAAATATCAAGACATCTTCCAGCGCGGAATCGACCCCGACGTCGATGACCCCAACCAGTGCCATAAACACAGTGAAATACCGGCTTCCTGGCCTGAATTAGATGAAATTCTAGATTACTCTCGCAGAGTTAGAGCGAGGACCCTGGCGCTATACGGCACAGACGGGGTGGCTCGTGTAGACTCTAGGTTTCCTAAGCTTCAACGCGCCCTTTGGTTGTCATTTGAACATGAGGCTATGCATTTAGAAACACTTCTTTATATGCTTCTACAAAGTGACTATACCCTCCCACCACCCGGTGTTGTTAAACCCGACTTCGTCTCTGGCAGAGAATGGGAAGTGAGAAGAGGAGCAAACGCCAAAAACGCCGATAAATGGACTGAAATCCCAAAGACGATTATTAGTGTCGGTATTGACGACCATGAAACCCATACATCTAATGGCTCGGCTGGTAATGGGGACTGTGGTTATCAACAGCGATACTTCGGATGGGACAATGAGAAACCGGTACGCCGCGGCATTGAGGTGCCAGCGTTCAAGGTTAGATCACATCCCATCACCAACGAGGAATATGCCAAGTATCTTCATGCACAATCCTCCAACAACATTCCAGCTTCTTGGACTTTCTCCGGACCAAAGTCGAACGGGGCTACTTATCAAAATGGCAACGGTATCATTCATCACAACGGAAACGGGGCCACCTATCAAAACGGGAACGGCACTAGCCATCAAAACGGGAACGGCACAGCCAGCTCATTTGAGCACTTCCTCTCCTCTTTCTCCGTCAAAACCGTCTTCGGCCCCGTCCCCTTAAAGCTCACCCGCGAATGGCCAGTCATGGCATCCTACGACGAACTCCTCGGCTGCGCAAAGTGGATGGGCGGAAGGATACCCACCGCAGATGAAGTGCGAGCCCTATATGAGTATGCCGAATCGTTAGACGTTGCAGAGAAGACGCTGGGGAAGCGGATCGATGCTGTCAATGGGTAAGTATCAACGTCAGACATGTATATAATATCGATCATGTACTAACCCCTCACCCTCACCAGACACCTAATCAACAACGGCGTCCGCGAGTCCCCCCCAAACCCATCTTCCACCTTCGCCGACATCCGGGGCAACAACGTCGGCTTCAAATTCTGGCACCCCACGTCGGTCATTCCCAGCGCTGGGGGGGCACCACTCGGGCGTTCCGCAACAGGCGGCGCCTGGGAGTGGACTAGCACAGTCCTAGAACGCCACGAGGGGTTCAAGGAGGACGAGATGTATCCCGAGTACACCGGTAAGTACTGAAAAAGTCTTATAACCCAAGTTAAGAAGGAGCTAACTTTTGTAGCGGATTTCTTCGATGGCAAGCACAACGTGATGCTCGGCGGAAGCTGGGCCACTCACCCGAGAATTGCAGGAAGGAGGAGTTTGTAAGATCTCCCAACTCCAACCCAGTTCCCTCTTTCATTCGACTTTCTTGCTGATTATCACAGTGTCAATTGGTACCAGCGCAATTACAAGTACACTTGGGCCACGGCCAGGATTGTAGCCCTAGAATAAGCTTAAGAGGGCGCTGGATATATTTGGAGGATCAGGAATTTCATAGCCTGACTCCCCCACTCGTGTGAAAATACCGCATCAATTTCTAGCTTAGCAGATATTTGCTTCTTGGACAAATATAATATGTACCCATCATGCACCAGGCCCTCGGGCCGGCATTCGCAGGAGCTGAGCTATGTAACTTTGCACTTTCGTAATAGTGTGGGCGTAGCGAAGTACTAGTCATGTCAGCAATCGATTTGTGGTGGGGGTATTAATTAGGACCGAGTAATAATATCATCAGTGCCATGAAAAAAGATGCCCTTTGAAGGCTCTGTGATTCGCCCAAAGATGTACAATCTTATCTTAGAGATGCATAGACCAGCTGCACCCCGCAAGGTGTTCCAAGCCAACCCTGTTCAAGTTAAGCGGCGTCGATCAACCGCACCACCCCTGTCAGTCTCCCGTCACGGGCTGTCTATCGATTGGCTGTCCGGTATCATACAGATAACAGATATGCACATCAATATACTTATCACTTTAAGCTTTAGAATGTCTGAGATGTAGTAAATACATGCACATCTACATGTATCTTCTGTACCTATTTCACAAATCGACTCTGTATTGACATTGAAGTAGATAACAAAGTCTCAAGTAAAAATAGACCTCTCAAGTTTAAACCACCGTGGAAGAAGCTCCGTACGGGCAAGATGACAACCCCTCATTTCAACCAGATTCCACCTAAAGCCCTAACGACTAGCAGGGCGAGCGGGCAAAAACCAACCCCGCCAAGCCGCCCCAAGATGTCAAAATGCGAGCCGAGACCCAATCCCACCCCCACTCATCCATCCATCCATCCATAGCTTGTTTCACCCCACATATCACATTCCATCCATCCATCACAATTCCCATCAAAGCCCCCATCCATCTATCCATCCATCCAGACCCAGTAGCCATGGCAGCCTTCCAAGATCTCCCAAACGAGATCATCCACCAAATCCTCTCCATTGTCTACCGCTCCTACAACCCCCTCCACGACTCCACCCCCCGTCTCAAGACCCTCCTCAGCATCGGCCGTGTTTCCCGCCGCTTCCGCAAGAACGCTGAGCGCTTCATCTATCAGGACGTCAACATCGGATACTGCCCGAACTCCACGGCCAGGCACAGGAGGCCCTGGCAGCTCCTCCGCACGCTCATTTCCCGCCCGTACCTTGCGGCGTACATCAAGAACATCAAAATCAGATGGGGCACCGAGCACAAGCCGCGAGTCACATCTCACGAGAGGTCTCTCTTTACCGCTGCTGCATCCAAGTGCGGCCTTGAACTCGCGGTGAGATGGGAGGGTGACCAGGCACTGCTCCTGTGCCATATGCTAAAGAGCGTCGAGAACCTCGTCATCAGCTACCCGCCCGACTTTGGGCCCAACTTCACTGATCCTTTCGGTCTCCTCCGGGAGTATACCCCCTCCCTCCCCGCCGCTCCCGGCACCCCACGCCTCTCCGCAATCGGCATGCAGAGCGTCCGCTCCCTCACCGTCTACGCCGAATACTCGACCACCGCACAACACATCATCCCCATGCTCCTCCTCCCCAACCTCAAGTCCTTCACGGCCCACCACGTCATCACCACCTCGATCATCCCCGAGAACCCCGCGTGGCACGGAGCTTCCTCCGTCACGGACCTACGTCTTCTCGGCTGTGAGCTCCATGGTTCAACACTTGCTATCCTGTTCCGCATCGCAAACAAGGTTAACCACCTCGAGTACGACGACGCCGGCGGCCTCTTCAATCCCACGCATATCTGCGACGAGGCGTTCCCGGCTGCACTGCAGATCCTGAAGCCGACGCTGCAGTACCTCATGGTGAATCTCGGGAAGGTGCACTCGCGCGACGGGACCCACGGGAAGGTCGGGACGCTGAGGGACTTTCCAATGCTTAGGGAGGTGGTCTGTAACTATGGGTCTATCTGGGGGATGACTTGCTCGACCTTCACGCCCGGAGTTGCATGGCAGTTGAACTTCACGGCGGTGCTGCCAGTGAATTTAGAAATCTTTGAAGTCTGCTTCCCGTGGGAGTTTACGATCAGCTGGCTGGCTGAGATGTTAAAGGAGGTGGAGACAGGCTTTCTGAGGATGAACACCCTCAAGATACATCCGATGGGGAAGTATGGCAACAAGGGGAAGCGGTTTATCAAAAAGTTGAGGAGAAAGGCGGAAAGGGTAGGCGTTAAGGTTGGGTTGGCGAAAGTTGTTGGTAATCGTATTTGCGGTTATTCGTATTCTAATTGAGGAAGCGGGGTCCGCGGAGGCCGCTAGGTACATGTGTTTCTGCATGTTTAATAGGCCGTAGATAAATTTGGTATTTGCAATAAAAATCTGGCTATTTGATAAATGTTAGGGCCCATACATACATGTAGCTGTGATAAACTCGAGCTCAGGGCCCGGTGTCATTGATAAAGGTCTCCACAACGGGTGTTACCCACCCGCACGTGTCTTCCCGGCCGGTGTGCGTTTAGGCTTTTGCCAAGCCAGGCTCTTACCAAGTAGGCCTGGCATTGTAGGTTCTGCAGATGGAGTGTGTACTACCTCCAGGGATGCGAGTGCAGATTCCAAAGTTTTAAATGGGTTGTTCTCCATGCCTGGTGAAGTTTTCGTCTTGAGCCAATGATCTTGTTTGTTTACTTGCCCTGTGCACGAGTTAGTACAGACTAACCCCTTCATACATACGGCCTTCATGTCTCGTATTACTTTGGAGCCTGAACCCTTGCTATTGCTGTGGATACAAGTACGCACAGTGTTTGCAAAACCTCTCTATTGTCGATACATGATGTTATCCAGAGCGATGATTTGTAAAAGACTGAAGAGAATCGTTGATGGAACAAGCTCCTTTTATAGTGGATGTCTTCTGAATAAACGTACAGTTATGATCAAGACAGCCAGGCTTGTTGTTCTTGACACAGTGCTAATGACAGTAATAACAGCTACAGAGCCCATGTCCAGTTCCTTTGCCAAGCCTCATGTGCACACCACCGGGTATGCCCTGTAGATCTTTCGCGATGCGATTTCCCGGCCCGGCCCGCTCCCTGGCATAGGGTTGTGGAGATCCATGCCAATGATTACGAGCACCAAAGAGTACATATAGCTAAATGTACGCACATAACTACATATACATATTTTTACGGATTTTTTTTTAACCACTACATGTAGAGTACAGCCGCCCATTCTACATAGGCTGCACGCGACAAACCTCCCACTCACCGATCATGGCCCATAGACGTAAATAAGGGCTTTCGTCGATTCTGCTCAAGTGTTACGGTGGGAACTGCGCAAGAAATGTAGTTACACGTGAACCCCCGAGAATTTCCCACCCGCATCCGGTATCGAGTATACTGTAACGACCAGTCAGGTTCGTACGTCAGGTGCCAGGCCCAGAAGTTTTGTACGAACAAGTGTCAGGAGAATGGGGCAGTGTAGGAAGTACTTTGGATGTCAGGACAAACTCTGTACGAAGCTTCCGGGTGTTATTAATAGCAATCTTTATTTCCTCGCGGTAGACGTTGCACATTATCGAACACAGACAGAGCTGTGTATGAACCTTTTGTTCAGCCAGTCAACTTCAACTCACTGTACGAACTCGGGAACTTGTCAGACAGTACTGTACGATCTATCTCCTGTTGACAGGAAAAGTCTCTGTACGGACCTGACTGGTCGCTACAGTAGGACGAGGGGGATGATAATAGTTGAGTTGTCGTTTATAACTCAGAACGTTAATTAGGTTGCCCACAAAATTAATCCCATAAAAAAAATTGTTTTTCAAGTTAAAGTCTGAGGGTCTGTGCATGTACTACAATAAAACTTTTCTCTGTGTCTCTCTTGATTCAAATTGAGTCACGAGACAAAGGTGGCTGTTCCCATAAATACACTAGTGTAGGAATACAGCGGCCCATGACTCCAAACTCGGTGTGGTAGCAACATTTGAGACCTGCTCGTTCAACCTTTTTTTTTCTTTTCGTGTCCTCTGACTACTTCCTTTTCTCCCATCATCTTTCTTCCTCGTTCCCCACCATCACTACCATCATTTGTTTTTAGTCCTTTAATGTCTCTGGCGTCGGCTTTGTGGGGTTTATCTACACGGAATTAATACTGGAACCTATCTGTTGCACTACAACTGATGGTTATTGTAGCAGTCAATTGTGATTATTTTCTACTCGCTATTTACAGCACTTGGTACTGAGTCCATCAACCTCCGCTGAAATTCATCGACTATAGCTAGCTGCATGTGGCTATTATTATATCTTTAGAAGGGTATGATCCGAGTTACTACCAGGTTCGTCTTCCTTCCCTTACACTCACACCTCTAATCGTGTTCAAAAATTTCAATTGCTCGAAGACTAATCACTTGACTTCCGTAGCACGAGAAACTCGTTCATAGTCTGTCACTCGATATCAACTATCAAACAAGTTCAACACCAACTATTGTGTGACAAGAGAGATCAGCCAAAGATTCCTTCTACTTGCTATTTTACTATCAATAAAAGCTCTTATGAAAGTCTTGCTGTGCCAATTTCTGAAGTCCAGGAGAGAGACCAGTCAACCAATCAGGAGCCCAATTATTAAAGCGGCAACCCTCCTCCTCGATCAATTGCAACGATGTTAACCGTCTTTGGTATGATGTACCAGCAACGAACACTGTGTCCTCGTCGGTCCAGTGCTAAAAATATCATTAGCCTCATGGCAACGTCGAGATCGAGTTTCAAACACAAACCTGATCCCACACTCCACCTATAATTCAATTGTTTGCCGTTGGTGTTGTGCTAATTGTCGTGTCTGAATAGTTGATTCCCGGGTTCCGTCTTGTCTATTCCAGCTGTGTTGCTATTCAATTCATATCCATGAAAAAGATCCACTTATGTCTTGGTTTCTATTCGCCAATTGCAATATGCAATAATACATCCATATCTCCAAGAGAGTCTGAGAAGCGTTTCGTTTTGGAGACCTCGCCAGTTGCAGAAACACTCTCATAAGAGCATTCATACCACGGACCATCCACAAAAGCCCCCAGCACGGGCCCCAGGCTGATACGGCGATCAATCAATATCTAACACACAGATGTTGATCAATCTCTTTTCCGGCCGGTACTCTTCCAAAACATGGACGCAGTCATCTCTCCGAATCTCAATCGGCATCGCACGTGTTTTGAAGTCCAACCGCCGGAATACAGATCTGCGCTCAGTTAATTTGGCGCTCGGCTAAGCACAGTGACAGTCCGAGGAAGGATTGATCGAGAGAGGCCATATGTCTATGCTCCAAGATTTCCTCACTGCCCAGCTGCGGTGGTCAAAGTGCTACTAAGTGTAGGGCTGCATGATGGGTGTCTCTGTGGGTCTGCTCTACATGAAGCATGGAGTGGAGTGGCAGTCTGCAATATGCATGGCCCATGAAGTGCGAAGCTGCGAGAATAGGACAGGCACAGACAGGCATGCGTCGTTGACGTCTTGGCATCCACGCATCCGCATCCGAGAGCCTCAACCTTAAGAGGGGTTCAGCATGGCGCACGGCCCACCCCCATCGACCCCTACCTAGCGTTGCGCAGGGCCTGCGTCTTCCGCAGATCTTCGGGCTTCGACGACCTTCTACCGCGGCTTCCCTCACCACCGCCGCCGCCTTAGACAGAGCGGGGAACGGTTGGCAGCATACGCAGTTTCATGGTTACAATTGATTGGTACACACCTTTTTTTTCCACTTCATGACAAGTTTTACGCTGAGGACTAGTGGGGAAGCAATCGGTGGCATCGTTTTATTGCACGATGTATATATTCTATGTTGCACACATATCCGAGTATATTAACATTTAAGAAGCTTGAAAACCCACCAGTAGGTGGTTCGGATTGTTCGCACCCCTGAGATTATTATAGCTACGAATCAGAGCCTTATTTGCGGCCCCTCGCCGATCCGACGCGTCTTCCCAGAGGTTCTACCCCACGACTGACCACGTGTCCTGGGGCCTCATCTGTTGGGAGGATCTACTCCTACCTGCATTCTCCTGTCTCTCCAATATGGCTTGAGTTTCTCGTTCCATACCCCTTCCTCATCATCTTCACCAACGTCACCGTCATCAAGTTCCATCAAGTTCCATCATCACTTTTACAGCATCATCTTCCATCCCTCCCTTTACCGCTATCTAATACCTTCATCATCATGCAACGCTCCCTCTTTAGAAAACCTGGCAACAGTGATGATGAGAGCAGCTCTGGGTCTGAAGATCTCAGCAGTTCGGCGTCCGCTGTTTCTGGAGATTCTGCTGGTCTTTCATCATCATCACCCACAGATCTTCCTGATAACCTGGGGCCTAATCCCTCCGTACCCACTGCAGCCGTTAACTCTTCCTCCTCTACTAGCCCAGTGACTATTTACACAACAGAATCTCCCCCTCATCCGGCAATCTCACCGTTCGCTCCGAATCATCAATATAATATCGTATTCAATGCCTTGCTAGAAGCGTTCGTTAATTCACGCATCTCTCATCCCGCTGTAGCAGAAGAATCGTTCCAGACGATTGCTCGCCTATTATCCGACCATGGCATAGCTCCACCCAACAGCGAGAACTTTGCTCGTCCCGAATTGGCGAGTGTACGCCAGACCTATCTAGACGGCGTCGATGCTCTTTTGCAGCGGAGCTTACAGCAAGTTGCAGGCGGAGAAATGGCAGGCCATGTTGTGGAGGATAGTCAGTTATCAATGGTTCTCAGGGATACCCCAGCTGCGGTTGTTCCCAATCCGCCCATCCTCAAAAGGGTAATGACAGAAACCGTTCCTGCTGGTAGCAGCTTGGACGGAAGAAAGGTCCTACAAAGATGCTCTTCGTTGAGTATACTAGCAAATGCTGCAAAGGCTACCAAATACCGGCCTAGCACTGCTCCAGCACTGGCTGAAAGCCCACCATCGTTTTTCCCAGCGGACAAAAAACCCAAAGCAACGCCAACTGCGCCTAGTATCAACGTTATAATCAAACCATCACGGTACACCTCCGATTTCATCGAGCTAGGGTATCTTGGGAAAGGCGGGTTCGGTTCCGTGTTCCATGTCCGCAATCGTCTTGATGGAGCTGAGTATGCTATCAAAAAGGTGGCACTTAAGCATGAAATGTTTAAGAAGGTCCAAGAGGATGGTATCGGAGCATTTGAAAGGGTCGTCCGCGAGGTGAATACAATGGCGACCCTCGAACACAATAATATCGTCAGGTATTATGCCAGCTGGATTGATGGGTTGATTGCTGAGCAGTTCGCTGCCGGGACAGTGGCTACAGTCGATGTGAATGTTGGTGCTGCTGCTCCAGTTAACGAAGTGAACGTCTCTAAGCATGATCCAACGAGTAATCATGATCCAACGAGTAACTATGACCCAACAAGTAACGATGACCCAACGAGTAACGATGACCTTCCTGATGACGACGAGGACCTTCCTGAAGATGAGGATCAGGCCGAGCTATCAGAGCTAAACATTATATTTGGAATTGACCCTGACGAAAGCAAGGTCAAAACTCTGGATAGCTTAAATGAGTCAAAATCTTTGAGCAAGGAGGTCGAGGTGGATAGCAAGGACTGCATGGGTCACTTGGACGGTAATTCCGAGGAGAGTTCGGGCGAATCAGTAGAGTGCATCCCAAGGTCGTTCTCCCCCAAGGCGCGATTACCACACGATTCTATATCTCGACGTTCCTCAAACCACCGCGGGAAAAAACCTTCAGTCAACTTCAAACTAGCTTCTGAGGACGAGTCAGCGTACTTATACTCCGAGTCGGACCTTGCCGAATCGGCCATCTTTTCAGCGGGCAATGGTGCCATGATAAGGTCAAACACAAAGGGGCGTGGGCAGGAGAACAGACGATCTGCATCTGTGGTCACCCTTCATATCCAGATGTCACTTCATAAACTTGGACTGACGTCATATTTGTCCGCGGATTCCCCTGGCCCGAAACATTGCTTCTGCCTTATCTCCTCCTTAAAGTTATTTTCTGGTCTTCTTGACGGAGTTGCTTATCTTCACGAAAAAAAGATTGTGCATAGAGACTTGAAACCGGGAAATATTTTCCTCGATGCCTATGATGGTCGGAGGCGTTGCAAATGCAATACCCACAACACTCTTGTCATTCCTCGTATCGGGGATTTCGGGCTCGTGAAAAATGTCACGGAAAACACTGGGGTTGCGACGCCGAGCGTTGCTGTAGGTACTGAGTTTTACAGGCCACAGGCAGGCGTTATGGATGATGACCTGATTGGGAGAGATTTATTTGCATTGGGCGTGATATTGGTCGAACTAATGCACAAGTTTAGCACAAGTAAGTCATTTATTTCTCCTTGTCCGCTTTCTGGGTCGGGTGTACTGACATTGAATAGGAATGGAACGTGTGTTCACACTTACAGCATTGACAAGAGCCGGAAAGCTTCCGGCAGCCCTGGACAAACGCATTACTGATATCGTCCAAGGATGTTGTTCACTCGGCCCTTATGTCAATAAGAGGTGGGATTTAGAGAGGGTCAGGCAAGCCATCAATACCATTGAAAACTCTGAGTCTTGAGAGTAGTGTTTTATTTTTTCGGGGGGTGAATATTTTTAAGGAGTTTTAACGTACGGTATTGATGCTATTTAGTAACCCCCAATTTCTTTTTTCAGCTAGGATTTTATTTTGTCATTTTCTTTTCCTTAAAAGGGATTGTACTCCACTCAACCGCATGGACTTTAATTCTTTTCTTTTCTGCGGATACCTTATGCTATTTCTGCTGTCATATGTTGTTCTTGCATTTATCTGGCGTTTTCATTTTCATTTTCATTTTTCATTTTCGTTTTTCCATTTTTCTTTTTTCTTTTTCATTTTCACCCCCATCCATGAGAAATCACATCGTCTCCATATCGTAGGGGAGTAGGCGGAAATAAGTGAACGGTGGTTCATAAAACGTTGTTTTCATATAAATGTTGCGTTCCAGTCATGGCCGGGTTTTCCTGGCTCGTGTGTCGGTCGGCTGGTTGGCTAATTGGCCGATTTGTTGGTAAACTGGGTTGATCTGCTATATATTCGGGGTCTCTGACGGTTAGTTAGTAGAACTAGACAGAATATCATAGTTATCTTGCTGTTCAAAACAGGAATTATACTCACCGACATCGCCGTGCTCTACTGTGAGATCTGGAGAGAATATATAGTGCACCTCGCCCCATTTCGTCATCAAAGATTGCGTGTGACATACCCATTGGACTCAACTACACTCAACCATCTGGCCTCTCGGAGGATGAATAGTAAAGCCTGTTCTATCTAGAGAAAGCATTGCTTTGTATTGCACCGAGGAACGTAGGAAGGTACAGCGCTCGGCCATATAAAAAAAGATAACATCACAGAGAACCGTGTATAACCGTATGCAATAGACAGCATTACCGCAGGTATTGATAATTGTCCGATACTTCATGTAATTTTAGAAGGCATGAATTTAGAATAGAGTATGAGCATTGCAGCATCGATAAATCTACTCTGCTGTATGTACAATTAATGTATGTGGTTTACTTTCTATTTAGCTGGCGTGGGATGTTTTCAAGAATCTAAACATCTCAAAGTAACAAAAATATATAATCTAAACAGTACATCTCATAAGTCACACGAGTATACGCCAGGGATTAGAGTAACCACTCGTTTTCGATCGTCGAGGCCCCTGTCCACGTCCGGGATAAGGCCAAGCACTAATATTATCCTAGGATGGATCATAATCAATCACTCGCTCAGTAGCTTACTAGTACTACAGAGTGAGGTAGAATTATAGAAACAGGGGTATAAAACAGGGTTTAAGTGGCTCACTCAACCAATAGGACTCTCCCATACTTCTACAATAATCTTACCATACGTTATAGAAGAATCTGATCTGTGAATGTCAATGGTCATTACTACCAAGCTACACAAGTCGAGACTTGTGTGAGATTACATTACTCACTATTTGAAAAAACAAAGAACCACCCGAAAGAGAAAAAAAGGAGCGGGAAAAAACAGAGAAAGGAAAAGAAAAAAGAAAAAGGCTGCCGCCGGTAGTGAAAGCACAGTACGGCTGACTGTCTTGACTGGCTTACTAAGAACGCATCTCCCTCGAACCCTAGCTAGAGTAGTCCCCCCCACCACCGCAACCACCACCACCACCACCACCACCACCCCGATCGTGCCCAGCGCCGTGTCCCGTACCACCGCCCCCACCCCAATCCTGCCCAGCGCCGTGTCCCGTACCACCGCCCCCCGCGGCCATCGTACCGCCCGCACCAGAGCCTCCGCCGCCACCCCCATCTTCACCTAATCCACCCTACGATCACTCGTCAGACAACATGACCGTTCCACTATTCACGCACTAACTTACATGGCGGTCCTTTGAGTGGTCGGCCACGATCGGGACATATGTTCTCGCCGGCGCGCCCACCCCGTCGTCTGAGCTGCTGTGACCTCTGCTCGTCCGCCGCCCGGTGGGTGTTGGTGGGATGGCTCCGGGCTCTGCTTTCCTTTTGCGTCCGAAACACATTGTGGGTATGAGGGATGATGTGTGAAGGTTGTCCAGAACAGTGCTTGTGAAGTGCTAGGCCAGCCTTTTTATAAGTACGGTGGGAGCTAGGTGCTGGGTGGTGCCAGCGGGCAGTAAATAGGTAGCCTTCCAAGCCGGTTAAAACTTGCTGGTACGTCGTACGTAGTAGAGTATGTGCGTTGAAATCAAGGATTTCTGGAAAACGGTGGTGGGTGATTGGCTTTACGTAAGTCAGATAGCAAAGAAGGCTTGAACCAGTGGTCTCACTTGTCGATATAATGCCTATAAGATAGACTGGTCTTTTTAATAAGTGATTGTCTGTGTTATATACTGGAGACGTGGAAGGTACTTTGATCATGATAGGGACATGGTATTTGCTTATTGTGGTGTTATAGGTAAATACTGAACCCTAGGTTCCCGGTATCCTAGGAATTAATGGAGTCTCATAGTTGATTGGTGTGTAGATCTAATACCTACACAACTTCTCAATACCACTAGTCCTTGGAAGCTTGAAATTCTGTCAGCCTATCATGTTTTCACGTGACCAATAATCTTGGGCAAAGGAGACCTTAGTACATACTAACTTACCAGCAGGCCACGTCGCAACTGAGCAAATACCAGTTAACTGGTATCACTGTGCGGCGGTATGCCGGAGTATATCTAATAGGTCTGGACTGAAACTATACATTTTTCCAAAAATCGCAAAAGGCCCGGTTCATGTCTGTCCATTGACCAATAGTATGGATTCACTCTTAATTATAAAATCCCCGATACGTGAGCCCTATGGATAAGGTTTGAAAGACCTTCATAGTAAACCTATGGATCTCTATAAAAAGATACAATACACAGGCTACAATGAATCTCTACACTCACCAATCTTCATGCGACGAAGGGTCATGAATCTGCCAATCGGAATAACCCACCCCATCATGCTCGTTTTAGTATAATTTCCCACAGACTCAATGATCCATTTGCAGTCCTTCTAAAGCCACTCTTTATACATGTGCATCAAAGTCTTTTATGACCGGTAGGTCCACTTCATGGTCAGGAGGTAGCAGCCCTATTGATCTAAAGTCACTTAGACTAGCATTAGTTTAAGATACCTGAGTCTAATATGGCTGTGAAAGACCCACCTACCACGAGCTCAATGCGTGATTGATACAGGCGTTTGTGACCCGTTTGACCCATTCGACCCATCTGAACTCTCAGGACCTCCCTATCGCTAAATTCAATATTTGAGAAACTGGAAAGAGTCAAGGCAAACACTTACCGCGCATCCGTGGTGCCTACAACTGCAATCCCTATGATGATGCGAATTATTTCCAATACGGGAGCCTAACGACTCTGAACTTTGGTTCTGATGCTGAACGTCTGATACATCATCAGTTGCCGGTGGTTGCTTCTTCTTTGCTGCATTCATCTTCTTTTTTCTTTCTTTCTCCCTCCTTTTCTCTACCTTTTTCAGCTCCTTTGCTTCCTTCTTTTCGAATTTCAACTTTGCCTTCAATATCCTTTTCTCCAGTTTCGTTGTAGCTCGATCAGTCGCAGTATCATTGGCGTCTCCATTGGCGTTCGTGCTTTTACACGAGTCTCGATTCGCTCCTGAATGCCTCCCGCCTATAGCTGATGCTATATCTCTTATGGATTCAAAGGGGCTGGGGAAGCACATTGCACTTTTTTCTTTTGGCTGTATTCAACCAGATTCAATAGACAGAGGGGGTGATACGGTGGACTCCGAGAGAATCTAAAAAATGATAATTGAAGCCTCGATGTAATTCTTGAGAGGATTGGGTACCGCTAGAGTGAAATCGTACAAAGAATAAAAGAACAGGGCGTTATCTCGGGGTGGTGAGCAATAGGTAAGATGAGCAGGATAAGCTGAGGTAGAAGAAAGATCATCGTAGATATTTGATTTAAGTCCAGATATACAGATAACACGTACGTCATAGATTATACTCAGGTCAAGTAAGTTCAAGAGACGTGTGAGGTTCCGAATATACACCTACCCTCAAATTGGGAACCTGAAACTGTGTTTACCCCGGTAACAAAAACTTCTGTATGCACTCCGATACTTCACGTGCACGGGGAGACTCAGATACCACACCTACCTGCTAATATTCTTATGCCCAAAGTGGTTTAATGCCAACATCATAATTGAAGCTCTTTTCAAAATCGAGACTTAGCTCCCTTCCACCGCCAACGAATACTATCTGCTCAATCGATCAAGAGTGCCTTCAAAGAATGGTTTATGATCGAAGACCGCCTTGAAGCGTCAATATATCATCAACGGCTAGTATAATTGAGGTTCTCATTAAGAGCGAGCTCTTCGAACGCCATTCACGCAAAGTTTCATGATCAATGGAATATCTGAAGGAGTATTACCCATTGATTCAGAAACAGGCCCAGCCAGAATTTACAGGACTTTTTTTTTTTTTGTAACTCTATATTATATTCTCTTGGAATGATTTGCTTTTTAGAAGCTCTTAATTATCATTTTCACTACTATACAGATGGTAGAGCTAATTACCTATCTAAAAAAGGTCGATAAATTTTTCTAGACTCTATATTTCGTCTGAGCCTGTACGCGGCCAAGGTCTATTTTATTTTAACCCAGACTCGATACCCGTACCATAGACATTCCAACCTTGGCGCTAGTTATGTTATTCGATATTCCAGGCCCTAGTCGAGATATCGATGGGTGGGTTCCATGTGACTCTAGAAAGTCCCCTGGACGAGGTGTATATGGCTACGACATCGATTGAGATCTTATCCTTCTCGGTAACCGTAGTTCTTTTTTTCAATGGCGAAGTAGCTACCAATTTGCAAAACTATTGAACTCCTTAGGCTGATGCATTCTTTATAGTACTCAGAACTAATTTAGGCTCACTTGGTGAAAGCAAGCCACCCCGGCCCCAAAGTCGTTGGCAGAAGTTTTGAAAATTAAACTACTAATCTGATATCGGGTCGTTGCATATCTTTAGCTAAGTGCGGTGTCAGTTCAACGAATACAGGTACATGCATGTAGTCTCGGAAAAGTATCAACCTAGTTCGTCAGGTGGTAGGCCGGCTGACAGGGAGTTCCCTTGTCATCACAAGCCTGGAAAAGCTTATTTCGATGTATTAAATATAACCAAACGCTGAATCCATAGGTGTATATGTAAACCGCAACTTCTCATTTATCCACGGAGACAAACAATCTCGCCCGCAAAGGATATAGACGTTGCATATAAATATTACCGAATGATGAGAATAGTGATCTTATCTTTGTGAGGATTTGTCTTTGTGATGATCAAGTGTAGTCCACAAGACGTCTCGAGCTGACCGACGCGGAGGCCCGGGCTGTTCATCGAGATATATCTACCTCAATAGCCTCTAGGTTCCTGGAGGCACCGGAACCTAAGTGTATGTCAATGTAACGATCGACCCCGGGTCATCCACATAACGTTCCCTGCCGATTTAAGAATCCACTGGATATATGAATGGATCCTTTTGATTGCTTAAGCTGGTTAATCTCAGGCGGATTCAACCATAATCGTACCTCCAAGGTGAGAATGGAATACCCCCGGCCCCGAACGGGCCTTTGGTCTTATTAGATTGTATTTCTAATACCTTTTAGGTGAAGCATGATATACCTTGGCCTTAAGCTTTTTGGGCCTGAAAGGACAAACTAACTTCATGTAGTAAACCCTAACAAGCCTAAACAAGAGCCTGGGAATGGTGGTTATCCCGTGTTCATCTAATAATTATGGTTGAGTGTCCAAAGTCCATCCGACTCGTAAAAGAAACCACACCCAGATCTGCAGAAGTAATGTCGTGAGTAGGTAGCGGATGAGGGGCGGTTGGTATCAAACTTCCAAAGAATAAAAGGGGTAGTGGACCGAGAATTGTCATGTTTATGGTTTCAAGGGCTTGAAACCAGTAACTGGGCTAAACCTTGAACCAAACTTTCAAACCCGATCCTCATGTGCTATGTCAGAAAGACCCGTCTAATCTTCGATAGCGCCATTATACTACCGACTTCACCACTTAAAAACTATAACAGCACACATAGCTTTCAGATGCAGTATACCATGGCCCAACAGGGCTGCATTTTACCCCCAATCTGCATTCTGCTTTATCTAGCTAACTATTTATGATATTTTAATGGATTAGATCCTAGCCTTATACAGTTAAAGGGATACGTGTAGTTAAGGGTGCCTCCAAAGGTTAAATGTAACCTGGGTTGGACGTCTCAATCCTTGCCAGCTGCAGGATAATCCTCTGCCAAAGGATATCGTTCCGGGAGCGTAAAACCCTTGTATATGGATATATATAGCTCCCTTATAGTATAAGATAGCGTCGGGACTTTAATTAAATTTGACTTGCTTACTCTCATGATAATAAATGGTCGGAAATCCTTGCCCTCAATTAATCTATCAGAATAGGGGATTTTGAGGATACACATAGATACTCGAGGTTCCGATCTCCAGCCATTAACTCGAGTTAAGGGAGGTAACACAAGGCAAGTACATTTGTGAAGTGGTCAGAGATGGCGGTATTCGGGGATGCATACCTATGTAACACCGTGCGCAAACTTGAGAGACAGAATCAAGTTTATTATGAATCTCTAATCTCCACTCCTACAGAGTGCCCCAAGTGCGAGGCAAACCCGTGACAATTCTACCTTTTGAGTTGAATGATCCTCTGGACTCCGATACTTGAGCCACGTAGAGAGCACAAAACACACGCAGTGAGCCATGTGGATCAAACAGTTCTGCTGTCGCCCTTTAAAGTAGACAGCGAGAGCCACAACACGAGGCGGCACTCAATATATGCAATGCCAGCTCTTGTTAAACGGGTTTTGTATTAAACTTCTGCCGTTTAATTAAATACCAGTGGAATAGCTACCATGTGATATGCATCCTTAGCGTTGTACAGTGATCCACAGGCGGTACTCGGTGCTCTACTGCTGTCATGTATGTACACAGTTCCACAGGTTCCACGGTTTTACGTTTTGGGCC